GCTACGGTGCTATATATATTTGTGCCAAGAAAATCGCCAAAAAAAATCTGCAAATATATCGGATCATTTCCCAGACGCAACAATGCCCTAGTTGCTACATTTCTTAAAAAAAATAAAACGACAAATAACATTTGTATGAGAATCGTTGAGAAATACTGGTCAACAACAATGGTGAAAGGTAGCAAGAAGAAGATCAGACATGTAGTTTCCTATACACTCATCGCTCCTCTCGACGTCTATTAACCTAATTTATGTACATTTACCACATAATTTCTGTTTTTGACACCCTCTTCAGCGACTCCGAAGGACAAAATTGAGGTCTCCTACAGAAACGGTATACAACGGTACGCGACGACCATATGCGACGGTTCGGAATTCTTCCATGGTTGATTACTCAAAAATGAAGTTTGTAAACACGATTGTTTTTTAGATCTACACATCAATGGTCACACTATTTGTTGACTCATAAATATTTGTTTCCTATGAAATTTGTTTTATCAGAGTCCAAAACAAAGAAAAGATCAGTGTCGTCGAAACATAAAATATTGTAGTCATCTACACTCAGAGTCAACTATAAAATCGGTAGTTCACTATATTTCTCCCAAAGTCAACTATAAAAATTAGATAGTCAAATTTTACGATGTCAACTATAAAAAAATGGTAGTTAACTATATTGTTGCTAGAGTCAAGTACAAAAAATAGATAGTCAACTATAATTGTTCAAATGTCAACTATAAAAAAATTGGTAGTCAACTATAATTTTTCCATTAATTCACCATATTATTTTTCAATTTAAGATACTATAGTGTTATAAAATTGAATACTCATGATAAAAATCTCATCTTCATGAAAACATGAATTTCATAGAGTAGAAAATAAATTAATTTCAACTACCAAAAAATGAGATATAGAAGAAAAAGTACAGTAGTGAGAAGAAATATAGGGAAAAAAAAATGAAACAGAAACAACCGAGAAAAGATGAATTGAGGGAAGAGAAAGAAAAGAAAAAAATATGAGAAAAGAGGAAATTAGGAGGAGAGAGAAGATAGTAGAGAGGAGAGAGAAAAATAAGAAGAATAAAAGAACACATCAAATATTGAGGAAAATAAGGAAGAGAGAGAAATTAGAGATATGAGAGAAATAAGGAGAAGATAGAGAAAATTGGAGAAAAATATGGAAAAATGGCATAAAGGGCATTAACATAAGCTAGGGGGTTCATACAATTCAGAAAATATTAAATGAGTTTGTCTACAAATAGTCAATTATAAATTGGACCCGTACTATATTATTTACCTATGATGAGTTATCCATC